ACACACACACACACACACACACACACACACACACACACACACACACACCACACACACAAACCCAATATTGCTGTTCTCTAGGGTTTCCATGAAGGGTGAAAAAAGTATTAGTGTGGATATTTGGTGCCTTTAGAACATGATAGAATGCAAAATATGAAACAATTCCAAGTTCACAAACACTGGTAACCATGACACATCCAGATGCGAAGCCAATCCTCGCACCTCAGACCCGGTGCTCTAGGCTTAGCTTCCATGCCTCAGAAATCTCATGCTTTTCTCCCACCTCCCTCCTCCATCCCCAAGGAAGTGTGGGACCTCAGGGTTCAGCGAGCAAGCGAGCAAGCGCTTCACTTACCTGTTCATTCTCTGAATACGGGTTGTTGAGGACCACAGGGACGTTGCCCTTCCCCCACAGATCATTGAAGACACGGTCATTCTCCCCGCCTAGGGGTGGAGCTTTGTGCGGTTTGCCATCGAGGTCTCTGGAAGGCAAGGTGGCTGGGTGAGAAAGAGTGACAGCAGGATTGTGACCTTGATCTGGGAGTCCTGCAGCTATACAGAACCCCAGCTCACTCCGATCTCTCTGTGTAGCCTGTGGGCCCACGTATCTTCATTAGGAGCCCTCCCCACCCCCAGTGCCACAGGGAAGGCAGTTCCGGGTTCCTGGGCAAAGCTTGGTGTCCATGGCTTCAGAGTGGCTGCCACACTGACTTCATGCACCCTGCCTCTCTCCACTTCCCAGGGCTGAGAATCTGGAAGCCTGCTGGATCTGCCATCATCACCAGTATCGGGTATGCTCTGTACTGTACACCCTGTGTACCCAGGACAGTTAATAATGAGAAAGGCAGGACACGGGATTAGTGGGAGTCCTGCAGGGGAGAGCCAAGACTTACTCAGATCTTGACCAAGGCTTTGGGCTTCTCTGTAAAAAAACAGCTCAGGGGACATAGCAACAAAAACATTATCACTCACATTGGTGACCCAAGTTAGTTAACATTCACCACATGCCAGGCACTCTACGTGTGATTCATGAGTGTGTGCACGGAAGACCATGTGGAGGTCAGAGGTGAGCCTCCGGTGCTGTTCCTTGGGAGACATCCAGCTTGCTTCATGGGTCTCACAAAGGTCTAGAGATCATGACTTGAGAGGACTGCAGAATACAAAGCTCCATGCCCCTGCCTCTGCGTCTTCAGTGCAAGGGAGCCCTCCTTTAGGTGGATTCTCGGAACCCAATCCCAGGTCCTCATATTTGCAAGGCAAACATTGTACAAGCTGAAAGGTCACCTGACCCCTTTATGAATGTTTGACTCATTTGACCCTTGAGACAGTCCGTAGGGTGGGAGTGAGGATTAGCTACCATGGTTATCAGCACATGCTTATAGATGGTACAGGCAAGAAGATGTGCGGGGTTATACAGGTTAGAGCTACTATCAGCTCCACGGAGTCCAGGACAAAGAAGGAGATGAGTTTCCTACCATGCCTGTGGGCAATTATCTTGGCTGGGTCAACTCATATGGAAAGACCCATCTTGACCGAGGGCAGGGCTGTTCCCAGGGATTACAGACTGTAAAAATGTAAAGAAAATGAGCTGAACCCCAGTACCCACCACTCCCTGCTTCCTGACCATTCACACAGTGTGTCCAGCTGCCTCCAGCTCCTGCTGCCTTGACACTCCCGCCATGATGGATTGCACCCTACATCTGTGAATGACAGAAACCCTTCCTCGCTGTAGGTTCTTCCTATCACATTGTTTTATCCTGACTGTGGAAGAATAATTGATCCAGGGCCAAGGTCCCCTGGTGGCGAGTGGTAAGGCCACAGCTTCCAGCCTGCTGCTTACGTTTATGGTAAGTAACTGTAGAGGCCGCCAGGATCGTGTTTGTTCTCTACCGCTGTCTCTACTCTCAATCCCATCAGAAATAAACCTCTAGCTTTCCCTCCTGCTCAGCACTAACACCACTAATGCCAGTGACACACTCACTGTCACCATCATGATCTTTGCCACATCCTCACCGTCACTATCACCAGGAACATCGTCACCCAAATCATCATCACGATCACCATAACCATCCTCACTATAACTATCCTCATTATAACCATCCTCACCATAACCAACATCACCATCATAACCACCATCACTATCATGACCACCTCCATCATGATAATCATTGCTACCCAAACCTTCACCATCTCTATTGTCTTCATCATCACCACGGTCACCATCATGACCATCATCGCTACCCAAACCGTCACCGTCACTATCATCTTCACCATCACCACGGTCACCATCACCATCACGACCACCATCATCACCACTATTGTTACTATAACCGTCAACATCATGATCCCCGTGACCATCACCACCATCATTTTCCTTGCCCGCTGTGACTACCACAGCTACCACCAGCATCATCGCAGTAAGACTCACACAAGAAAGCTGGGGTCCAGAGAGGATGCCATTAGCTCAAGTCACACTCCTCAATCACAGGCTTGTGCTTCACTCCAGAAGACAATCTCCTGCCCATGAAGCCCCATTGCCTCCCTGCCCTGTCTTCTGACCAGCCGTCTTAGGGTTTAACTGTTGTGAACAGACACCATGACCAAGACAACTCTTTGAAGGAGAACATTTAATTGGGGCTGGCTTACAGGTTCAGAGGTTCAGTTCATTATCATCAAGGCAGGAGCATGGCAGCATAAGGCCACTAGAAGACTGTCTCTCATGTGGTTAGGAGAAGGGTCTCTTTGCTCACTCCCACAGTGACACACTTCCTCCAACAAGGCCACACCTACTCCAACAAGGCCATAATAGCGCCACTCTCTGGGCCAAGCATATTCAAACCACCACACCAGCCCAGGCCGAGGCTCTGTCAGCAAGGTCCTATAGGGTAGCCAGCCTCGGAGAAGACTGAACCATACCAGGGTCACCTCTTGTTCTTTCTTGTGAGGGCTGCTTCTCTGCTCACCCTGTAATGTTGACCCTGCATCCAATTGCCATTGTACTGCATTGTCACTCCAGGTCCCCAACTTCAGGCCACTCTGCCACTTTGTGTCCCTCCTGGGTATTGGTCCTAGGCATTGGAGGGGGAGGTTGTTCTTATCTAGGTCTGTGTTACCTTCCCACCTTTGGGGACTCCTCTCTTCCCCAGTCTGCATGGGTTGTCATCTGAAGTGAAGCAGAAGCAGGAGCTGAGACCCTGTTCTGGGTGCATTGCCCCGTCCACTGATCTGATGGGGCTAGCCTACCCCATCTTGCTGGGCTCCTCCCCATCCCTCTGGCTCATGTTGCAGCCGCTTCCGTCCTTCTGCTGGGTGAGGATTGCATCATTACAGGGAACATTCTGTCTCGCCCTCTTTAAAATGTCACCAAACCGTCCCTGGAGTGGTTCTCGATGGCCAGCGTTTCCCCAGTCAACGGATTACCTGCGCAGCAATTAACTAGGGAAAGGACTGTAGAGCACCCGCTTCAAATGTCACTCAGCTCCATTTCGGCTCTGTCGTGCCTGAGCTGACAGCGTCACGTGATCACAAATGGGGCCTCAGCAGACAGGGGAGGAGGTTAATGCATTTGGGGACATCGATAATGTGCCAGGTACTTGTACACAGTTACTTCATCCCTCTTCAGCAGCCGTTCTCGGCTCTTGGTTTCAAATGAGAGAGCAGAGCCCAGAGGGACAATGGCATTCCCCAGAGACCTACAGCCTGAAGCTGAGCAGGAGTGCGGGACACTAGATCTGAGTGATGGCTGCTAATTCACATCCCTCCTGTGATTAAAAATAACAGGGCGGAGGGAGGGGCAGGACAGACAAGTCAAGACACTTAGATCCTCAGCTACAGAGCTACAGGTGACAGAGGCAGATCCCCAGCTTTTGTGAGGCCCGTCACCCAGGCAACTCTGAGGTGGCTCATCTTGTGACCCTGCAGGAAGAAGCTCAAGGGTTTAACATCTATCTTTTATGGTTTCCTTCCTTCCTTCCTTCCTTCCTTCCTTCCTTCCTTCCTTCCTTCCTTTCCTCTTTCCTTTCTTCCTTCCTTTCCTCCTTCCTTCCTTCCTTTCCTCTTTCCTTCCTTCCTTCCTTTCCTCCTTCCTCCCTTCCTTCCTTCTTTCCCTCTTTCCCTCCTTCCTTCCTTCTTTCCTTCCTTCCTCCCTCCTTCCCCTCCCTACCTCCTTCCATTATGAACACCTTTGTTTGAAGAATGCATCTGGGTGGTTTGGCTAATACACGCTGGATTTTAGAGTCACGTGTGATCAGCAGGGAGTGGGCATTTTTTAGTACGTAGCCCAGGGAAGATCAGGGCTGAGCTGTCCGATTTCCATGCACGCAGGACAAATTCTGGAGTAGACCCTCCCCACCCCCTGATTCACAGCCAATGGGAGGAGGCTGGGGAGGACCTAGTGAACCCTAGAGGTTCACCTGTATGGTGGGGGCTCCTGGATCGTCCCATGGTGTCTGCTCACAGTGGCATGCATGTAGCATGCCATACTGGGGACTAGGCAGAACTAGGTCTGACCTTTGGCTTTGTTCGTTAAGCCAGGCAAGTCTGGACATGGAACCAACTCTAGTGTGCCCTTTGTCACTTGAGAGTTAACAACAGCCTGGACCCTCCTGGTACTCAGCTGAGGGTACCTGCTAGTGACTCTCCTACCTTCTTGCTCCTTCCTTCATAGCCATATTAGATAGGACAAAGGGACTTGTAGTCCTTCAGGGTCTTTGTCCCCATCCAGGCAATGCCTGTACCATCTGGTACGGACCACACATGGCCCCAAGACACCTCAGAAGTACAAGTTCTATGTAGTTAGAATCTCATTAATTCTCAACTCTGATCTTCACTCTCCCCTCTTCTCTGCTCTCAGCCTAGAGATGGCTGCACTCATCCTTCGAAGTATGTGGGATAGCCACCTCTGCTGTCCACTACGTGAGAGGTCCCGTGTGCCTGGCATGCAGTCAGCACAAACGAGACACTCACTCCGATGATAATTCCTGAACAGCGAAGGGAGCTGCAGCACAGAGAGATTAGGCCACTTGTCCAAGATCACACAGCCAGAGAGAGAAGCTTGCTAAAGCTGGTTTTGGCTCTTGGCATAGCTGGGTGTCCTGGGGAACAGAGATATTACATGGAGGACCCTGACGGTATATCTGGCTAGACCACGTACTCATGAAGAGTTGTTGTATTTTATCTTTTAAATTTCACTGAATTTAAAAAGTTTGTGGGTGTGATGTGATGTGTGTGTGTGTGTGTGTGTGACATCATGTGTACCTGTCAGCAAGCACCTTTACGGGTCCCACCATCTTGCCAGACCCAGAACTTTTTATTTAGATGCTAGACAATCCCAGTCAATGAGGTCAGCACTCTAACTCTATCTGCTGGGCAAACACAGGCATGCTGGTGGCTTTTTATTATTTTCCCACTAAAGAACAAACACTGAATCAGGGAGCAGTTGTCTTGTGACTTCTGGGAAGGCTGACTGGATGACTTTATTTTG